GTAAGAAAAAAAAATATTGTTTAAAATCCGTTTTTATGACAGTATTGAAAATCTAATAGTGCAAACATGTCTAAAATTTTAGCAGTATAAGATTTAATTATTTTTATTCAATTTAAAACAGTTTTCGTTCAATACTTTATTCAATCTTAAGAGTGAACTAACCGCATACAAGCCTTATTTAATCAGCTGCAAAATTTTTTGGTTTTGTTTTTCTTATCAAGATACAAAATCAAATCAAATGAAAACTACATAATCAGATAGAGCGCAATTAATTCTCTGAAAAATTTTATAGAACTTTTGAATATTTCTAGTGTTTCTTTGAAATATAACAGATTCTTTTATAAGAAAAAATTTGAAAGCAACCAATCTTAATCGCTGTAGTCTCCCTAAAGCTTTGATACACTGAAGTATGTGAACGTAGAAAAATATAATTCTGAAATCGTTTCTAAATCAATTGAAACTGCATGATAGAAACGCGTTTAATGACATCTCCACTATTCATTAAGCAACAAAGATTAACATTGTCTCACCTGGAATGTCTGGTAAAAATGCACAACCAATTTCTTTATACTTTTGTGTGCAACTGAAACAAGAAAAGAAAAAGAACATGTATCGATGAAAAGTTTGAGACAAAGTTCATACCAATTCATAAATTCTTCTTTTGACAACTGTTCATCTTCAGCATTCTTTTTAAACATTTTAAACATTCGTTTGACAATAACTTTTATATTAGCCGTATTCACAGCGGCTTCTCCTTTGACAAGTGCAGTGAAAACTTCAATAAACTTGACAAGTTGTTGAAAATTGATGCCATTCTTCTCATTTCTATCGATAATTTGAAATATCTAAAAGAAACAGAATTAAACATGGGGTTATTTTACAAAGAAAAACGCATTTTCCCCTTAGACCTACCAAAGAAAGCCGTTTTTCAACGTTGTCTGCATTTCCGATCGATGTAAGAGCGACAACGCTCATAAGTTCGCTAAAACCTATAGTGCCACTTCTGTCTTTATCGTTTGTTGCAAATAAGTAATCATAATAATTTGAAGAATTTCCACTAAACATGTCAAACAAAAATAATATTTTATCATGCTGTTTCGAAAGTGCATCTACGGATACAACGTACTCTTTATATAGTTTTTGTAATTCACCGACGAATTCATCGTCTGTTAATTCCCCTGTTGGACTAAAAATAGAATTAAGTCATATACAATAACTTCTGTGTCAAAGAAATGTCACTTTTGATAGTACTCACTATTCAATCAGAAAGTTTTTATGTCGTTGTTGAATATCTTTTTTTGAAAGACTTGAATTTTCTTTTAAAATGGATGAAATTTGACTACGTGATAATTTTTCTAAAAAAGAAACAATAAGAAATGAATCAAAATGTCAAGCTCATCACACAGATAGATATTGCTCTGAAAAACACAAGAAAATACTACTTGGATCGAAAAATGTTTTTCTTTTCTATTCAAACAATAACATAGTGATTTCCTAAACTTACTTAATGAATATTGGTAATAATCTTTGGATTTGATCTTTCCACGTGTTGCATGATAAATACAACATTTATTTGCTTTATCTTTGTCATGCTTCAAATCAGAATGATGTAAATCATAATCGATCACAACAAAAGCAGAATCAATTGTTTCATTCTTGACCATACTTTTAAAAAATCTCAACTGTTTAAACGAATTGTCTCTGTCTTCTGTTTCCCATTCTTCAGATACATGTAACAAATACGTATTTTTCTCATATAAGTCTGATAAAATATCTCTGATAGATGTTATTTCTTTCAACAAATGTTTTTCAGGTTGAAAATGTTTCAATAATCAAATTTTTAATATCACATTTTGCTTTTCTTTCAAAGGCCGTTCAACTGACATTGATGAACATGGATTGTTGCGATCGAAGTCGTCTAGTAATCTTTCCATTTCAGATTCTTCTGCTTGGCCACCACGAATATTTTGCAATAAAGTTGATAACTCACGTTGTGTTTTCACTTCAGCTACAATTCGTTCAGCCTGTTTCTGATGAATTGTATCTCGCCAATCACATGAAATATAATGTTCCCATGGTTTCATTTCGTTAAGAAAATCATTGAATTTTCTCTTTCCTGTCGAAATCTCTTCAAAAATATCCTCAATACGCATAACGACCAGATGTGATACTTCTCTTATCATCCTAAAAAACATTGGTGGCTTTTTATTAAGACTTGTAGATGTAGCCATGCTTTAATAACTTACCTATTAATTTGTAATTCATGTTTAAAAATTTCAGCCATTCGTTTTAATGGATACAACACAAAAGTAAGCTGTTGCCCTTTTCCTTCATTCAATGTCTTGATTCGACTTGGGACCGTTTTGAAGACACGCATCACGTCCTCAATATTTTGTGGACATTCATCGATAAGTATATTACCCGATAAACTGATTTGTAATTTTTCAAATTTGAACTTGTCTTTATTTTGAAGGTCAAATTTTGCTTCACCACTGATTGGCAAGGATTTCAAAACAGCTGATAAGGATCCTTCAACTTTTTGCACTTCCTCGAGATTCTCGACTACTTGTTCAAATGTAGCAGCAACATTTGCACCCCACATGATTCCAGTCACCACGTGTGTGGCATTGGGATTTTCTAATGCATCTGCTGAAAAATAGTCCGACAAACCAGCCATTGCAATATGTAACTGCTCTTGTTTTGTTTTCACTTTGTAGACATATGTAACTCGAATTGTGAGACTGTCGATTTTTGTTTCTTTTAGATATTTTGCCGATCCAGTTATGTCGAGTATACCAGTCATTAAACTTAGTTTCAAACTTGCTTCGATATTCATTTTATCGAATGTTTCCTTTTGTGAATTGTTGAAAAGCAGTTCATAGCTGGTACGAGCATTGTCACTAACATCAATGAATTCTGCAGGTAATTTGTTTTTGAACAAGTTTGTACCTTCCAGTTTATCTGTTCGAATATCATACAATGATCCGATAAACCTACGTCGACATACTGTTTGCCGTTCAATAGCATCAGCTGACGCCATAAAAATGAGTTTATTTTATTTTCTAAAATGAGACAAAAATGAAAGAATGCCAATAATAATTGTTTCTGACTAAATCCCCCGGGTTTCTACCATTTTTTCTCGATTTCNCAGGGGGGGCTTCTAATATGGGGTGGGCTTCTATTATAGGGGGGGGGTTACATATAATTGTGTTAGTTGGATAGATAATTTTCTGTTGACATATTCTCGGCAATGTTATTCATTAGCCATCGATACTAATCCCATAATTAGCTGCATATTGAAAAATATATAGGCCTCTTTATTATTAAGGTTGTGGGTACAGATTAGAAGAATAACCACACCCACGCCCTATTTACTTATATTAGCTCATACTAATATAGAGAATATATTTCAATTATTTTCCCTTCTTTTCTTCAGTTTGTTGTATTTCTAAGAAACACTAGAAGTATTCGAAAGTTCTACATAATTTTTCAGAGGATTAATTGCGCTCTATCTGATTATGTATCTTGATAAGAAAAACAAAACCAAAAATTTTGCAACTGATTAAATAAGGTTTGTATGCGGTTAGTTCACTCTTAAGATTGAACAAAGTATTTGAATGAAAACTGTTTTAAATTGAATAAAAATAATTAAATCTTATACTGCTAAAATTTTAGACATGTTTGCACTATTAGATTTTCAATACGGTCATAAAACGGATTTTAAACAAGATTCTTTTTCTTACATTATCATATAAAACCTTATGTTCTTGGAGGGAGAAATGAATCCTACATTACTCTATCGCACCTTTTAACTAGTGACATGTACTGTTACTTGCATAAGTTCTCTTACAATTATCATTTCAAAAACACGAATTTTCAAGCAACTCTGCTGTTTATTTTAATAGATCACCAATCGTTCAATCGATATTGTTCTCTATGAATATATTAATGAGCTTGGGATAAGAATCTGTTCAAAAGAAACGTTTCTTTTTCTAAATTCTTGAATACAGTGCGAGAAGTAAATCTACCAGATTATAATAGTCACTTGTGCAGAATGTTGATTTCGATTGAATTGAAGCTACAGAAAAAAAACCTATTTCTATAAAGAATGAAAGTGGCACACATACACAATTCAGTTCTTTTTTAAACTTGTTTGTTGCTCTCTTTTGCTTTCGCGACATATATCTTTGTCATTAATCTTTTTTTTTTACTCAGTAATCTCACCGATGGAAAATCAGACAATATTCCACTGAAATACTCAAATAAAACAAATTACAGGTGTTTTAAGACTTTTTCATTGCCTTCTCTTGCGTTACACTGATGAGTTTTCACGATAACTACTAGATTGTTAAAATATTGATCCTTATGCGCACCGACAACTAGAAAGATGAACTCTATTTTTAGTAGAAGAAAAATTAAAAGAAAGGATTGAGCTATTTTTGTGATGTGCACGAAAAAAAAATGTTTTACAGTGAGGAGAACATATTTGTACATGGCAACATGTGCAAGTTTTTCTTTTCTTCTTAACACTTCTAAAAAATTTGAATTTCATATAACGTTTTTGACTTTTCTCCTTCAATTGAGAAATTAATCTATAGAATCACTCTAATAGAATCCTTAGAATATTCTATTCGTTTCTCTATAACGTTTATTTAGTAAGAATCTTTCAGTAGAATTTTCCTTGTATACCTACCAAATTATTAGTAAAGATTTCTCGAGAGTAGCTCTTTTCTAAAAATCGTCACTTCAGACATAGAGACTTCATTTGTTTTTCGTTTTCATGTAGTTAAAATTCTGGCAGTGCGATTTAAAACATGAGTCAATTGTAACTATTTAACTTTGATTAAGTTTTTGCTTTATTAGTTCAATTAAACAAAGTCCCAATACTAATTCTTTCAGTTTATCTAATTGATTAAATCAAAGTAGTTTTACTTGATTCCAATCCTTTTGTTTACAAAATTCGTATTTTTATATTATTCTTGAGGGTGTATGGGTGTGGATATCCAGAACATCAACACCCCCACCCTTGAAGTTAAAACAGGTGTTCTTTCTAGCAGTGCTGGATGTTTTTCAGTTAGTGTTACCAGAAGAAGAATATTTGATAATTCAATGTCAACGATAGCCCAACACTAAAGCTGATGAATAAATAGTTTGCCTAAACTTTTCTGATCTATCATAATTTTTCTCAGGGAAATAAGCAAGAAAAGAAATTATTTGAATTAAATTTTCATCAGTAAATACTTCATTAATCATATCTATAAGCCTGAGCCAAAAATAAGTAGTAAATATTGAGCAATTTTTTGCGTACATGTACAATATATTTGATCTAGAAACAAATTGATATTCGTGTGCTGTTACATTTCGATTTTATACCTCGAATTCCAACAGATGGAGATCAAAAAAACTAAATATAGCACGTCACTTTTCTGTGTACCTTTTCTCTCTCGCTAGTATATAAGCTCACGATATATTGGAAGAAACGGGCAGTATATAAGTCAGAGAGTAGTTAAAATTTAAGTTGTTCGAAGAAATAGTTTATTAGAATATAAATAGTTAGATTTGACTTGTATTGAGAAACATCCGCACATATTATTATCAGCGCAATATTGCTATCTTGTTTTATTGTAAACACATATTATTGAATAAATTATTACAAGTTGATATTGTCCAAAACGTTCTTACTTGCTTTTAAATAATAATGATAATATTTATTTTATATTTCGATGAGTTCGGCAAATTATTTATGCCAATAAAATTATTAGAAAATCGATTCAATTTTCATTAGTATTCTTGGTTGTGTACTACTTACAAGAGTTTCGATTAATTATCTCGCAATACACCCACACCCTCGTTCTTTGGATCATTTATTGACTAGAGAAAAATAAGACAACTTTAAATTCTTTTAACTGCTTCAATGCGTTGCTAGAAGGTTGAGTTTACATATACCATTTTCAGAATCAGAATTTATACTGTGCTACGTGTTTGCGATTGAATCATTTTTGTATAAATTACATATAATATTTCATGAAGTTATTTTATACTCTTTATTTAAATGATAATTATTCCTCATTCCAATATATATTTCTATTGCTCCATTATAATTATAAGTCAAAAATATTCTAGAAGTAAGAAATGTTCTATTTAAGAGAAAACGAAAAAGATTCTAGTAAAATATATTTTGATCATAGGAAAAATATAAGAAATAAATCGTTATATATCATATATGTTCATAGAAAATATAGACTCGCATGTCTCAAAAAAACTAAGCAAAAGATAAATATCTATATAGAACTATTTTGATGCAAAAAATCTCATTTTAAACATACACTGTAAATTTTTTTGAATTTCTACTTTTTAGAAAATCGACTTTAAATAAGTTGAAGCATTTTCGAATTTTTATTATTCATTCGTCGAATTTTAAATATTCAGAAAATGCTTGATTTTCTAAATTATAGAAATTCAATTGCAATTTTATAGAAAAATCAAGATAAATTCTACAAAAAGTAAAAAATCAGCGTCACGTTCTAGAAAATCATTTGAATTATGACCTTTATTAAGTCATTGCTAATTTGTGTATATAAGTTATAGTTGGCAGTGTGTATAGTGCATTCATTATTTTCTCTGCCAGCTCTAGCGAGCAGATCAACTATATTTTTTTTCAAATCCACATGAGTCAGTCCACTTTACATGAACAAACACAATATATCCATTTATTTTTTTATTCACGAAAAGAATATTACAAATAAAAACTTTTCTCATCACAAAATAGATATTTATAATCATTTATTTTTGTGGAATTATACATGAACTCTGATATTATATTATTGCATTTAACATTATAAGTATATCGTATTTCAAGTCATTTTTTCCTGATCGAAATATTTACACATTTAGACTTTTTTTCTGAGAAAATTTTCCTCTTTTTAATGGAATCCTAAAATTTTAGTTTATATCATTCATTTTTATCTATTATCAGGTTATAGAATCATATAAATCAGATGCTGAAGACAATATAACTAGTTAATTGTTTCTCTTGAAGATAAAATCTTATTATATTCTCTAATCGTTTGAAATTGAAAATTTCCAATTTCTATCTTATTGAATATCGTATTTTCAAGAAAGTATAGAGAAATTCGTCATTGAATTTGTATGGGCTTTCCTAGAATATCTTTCTTTATACTCTATAATGTATTTTCTAGTTTACAGTGTATATGATATAATTGCAAACAACAAAAAAAGAGCATTAGAGAGAACTATATTGTTTCTATAGAATAATCTTTCAGTATATTGAGAAAAACTTATTCTGAGGAATTTCTAGAAAAAAAAGAATGATCTATTCAAAGAATTTTACTCGATACTTTTGAAATTATTTCATATACTAGCTATACTCGAGACGGAGAGAGAGAGAGAGATTTCCTTTTATTCTTACGCTTTCTCTTCTAGTAAGTATTTCTGCTAATGCCACGTGGGCACAGAACGGAGTGACTATTGCTGGAAGCAACGTGGATGGGGGTGCCACTAATCAACTCAAGCAGCCTCTTGGTCTCTTTGTTGATGATGATCAAACAGTGGTTATTGCTGACTACTGGAATCATCGTATCATGCAATGGAAGAACGGTGATACAACGAATGGACAAGTTGTTGCTGGTGGTAAAGGCAAAGGAAATGGATTACATCAATTGAATTTTCCAGCTGATGTATTAATTGACAAAGAGACGGATAGCCTCATTATTTGTGATCGATGGAATCGAAGAGTTGTACGATGGTCTCGTCGTAGTGGTACAACACAAGGTGAAATACTCATNACTGATGTATTAATTGACAAAGAGACGGATAGTCTCATTATTTGTGATCAAGGGAATCGAAGAGTTGTACGATGGTCTCGTCGTAGTGGTACAACACAAGGTGAAATACTCATCGACAACATCGATTGTTATGGAGTCGCTATGGATGAACAGAGATATCTTTACGTTTCTGACGAAGAAAAACATGAAGGAAGACGATATCAATTGGGTGAGAAGAATGGCACTCTCGTAGCTGGTGGTAACGGCAAAGGTGTTGGACTCAATCAACTCAACGAGCCGAGATATCTCGTTGTCGATCGACAACAGAATGTCTACGTATCAGACAACAGGAATCATCGTGTAGTGAAATGGAATAAAGGTGCAAAAGAAGGTATTGTTGCCGCTGGAGGACAAGGCGCAGGAAGTGCTCTGACGCAATTGTATTTGCCTAATGAAATTTTCGTTGATACGTTGGGTACACTCTATGTAGCAGACGAGAGGAATCATCGTGTCATGCGTTGGACTCAAGGAGACAAGAAACAAGGCACTGTAATTGTGGGCGGTAATGGTCGTGGAGAAGGACCAAATCAGTTCAACGGCCCCTGTGGTTTGTCTTTCGATCAACATGGTAATCTCTATGTCGCCGATATGGGTAATCATCGTGTTCAACGATTTTCTATCGAATAAGATTTGTGAATTGTTTTTTCTTTGTTCGTTTCTTTTTCTATACTTTGAAATCAATGAACAAAAAAACGAGATTTTCTTTTACTTTTTCGCTTCAAAGGAAAGAAAAAGGCTAAAATATAAAATTACGTCATGTTTCTTTTCTTCTTCTTCTTTTATTTATTTGCTAAATGAAAAAAAATGAATTAAATAAAAATTATTTTTCGCAAAAAATATTAATTATTAAAGTGAAAAAAAATTGTGTCGTTTTGAAAATATTTATGATTTAAATGAAAAAATAAAATTTTGTGTCATTTTTACAAATTTGATTAGTAAAACGAAAAAAAAATGATTAGTAAAATAAAATGATTCATTAGTAAATTGAAAATTAATTAGTAGTAAAATTAATTAATTTATTAGTAAATTGAAAATATTTTAGTAGTAAATTAAATTAATTTATTAGTGAAATGAAATAAAATTTTCTGTTATGTTGAAATTATTTATTGTTAACATAAAAATATTTATTGTTGAAATGAAAATATTTATTGTTGAAATGAAAAGAAAAAAATTGAGTTATTTGAATAAAGTTTATTTTAAAAATCAAAAAATACAAGTTACAACATAGATGTCATAATACCGTTACACTGTGTATCGTGATTTCCAAGTCATAATGCCCATCTAATTCTTTTCGGGGTATACCCCTAGGGTATCCATTTTCATTTAACTATATGTTTTAAAGTTGAGGAATTCGGAGGAGCTGCCTAATTCCACGTAAAATAAGAACGAGATTTTCGAAGAATCCATTGATGACTTTGAGTCTGCTGCAAGGATACGTGCGTTTGTTAAAACAATTCCTGAGGTTGCTAGATGGATTCCTGTGTTTGCTGTAAGAAATTGAGTGCTCCGAGGTGTATAGTTAATTTGTGTGAAAGTTGGTTTGGATACCTATAACAAGATGAGGCACAGCTGCAGTAACCTGTATGAAGTATCTAGCAGCTCAGGTATGTGTTCCGGTACCTGTGGTGTGTCACGAAGGACTCCACGCGTGCTGGCAGCAACGTGAGACAAAAGTGTCGGAAGTCGAGGAATAATCTTAGCAACCTGATACATGGTTTCAGCAATTTCACACATTCTTTTAGAAGCCTAAGATGTTCATGTAGTAGCGTCCGGTTTGCTTCCAGCACCGACAGCCTTCCACCTACCAAAGTTACGCATTGTCAGGAATCCAGGGAAATGCTCCTAAGAATCATAATTTATGGCATACATTTCAGCCTCAGTAATATGCATGCCTAAATTCAAATTATTTAAAAAACAATTCAGATAAAATGATATTATTTGCATTTTCCTGCAGCAATATCTGTGCTTTAAGTTTTTCCGAAGTGTTACTGTGCAGTACATGAATCAATTATATTCAGCTTCGAATTGAGCATCTTATACAAATTCCAGTTGTTTTTGTGTATTTCTTTGAGGATATCCAAGTTGTTACTCTTTAGGGTAATACCCCAAAACAACTCAAATTCCTCAACTTTAAAACATATAGTTAAATGAAAGTGGATACCCTAGGGGTAATGCACCGAATGTTTGTAAAGTAAGTTTAGCTGGAGAAAAAGTCGTTACCCGGTGTAACGGGATATGACATCACTCATTATACTTTATTTTGCTCCTTCTCAAAACATACTATCGTCTCGTTTACATGAAAAACACACGTTTATAGACACAGCCATGATTCATAATAGAAGGAGAATAAGCTTGTTCACAATACACAGTAACACAGAAAGAACGATGAAGAGCATTGATCAATAAAGATGATAAACTAAGGTTAAATATCACATATAAACAATCAATTTCAGCCTTTCTAGGGAAGTAGAGTGGCATCCAATGAACTCCATCGGAGACGTTATAGTTCAGTGGTCTTAACAGCATAGATATTTTGCTTTAGAAATCAGTAAAATTCTCACATAAAATATATTATTATGTTGTATTTTGTTGCAAAACATTATCAATATTGAACTAGAAATAATGATATTGTCAAATGTTCTAAATGACACCGGTCATTTTTCTTCCACATAATGCGAAGTTCACTTGAAAAGTGAAATATTTATATGATTACAAGTAACACTTGCTTGTGGACTAGCTCAGCTCTTTCTCGTAGAGATAGTGCATTCTGAAGCTTAGCTTTTGCAGAATTTCGTTCAAAAGAAACTTATGAAAAGAAAAGTGAAACGATATTATGAGCGAGATTAACACATAATTTTCAACAAAGTCAAAAAACACTGTTTCATGGAAATCTGTGCTGTAAAGAGTCGCTCTCTGACTCATCTACTTGAATTTAAGCTAGAAAGCTTTCTCATCTGGATACAACACATTGATTTCGTTTATCATCTTGCATGGTAAGCTAGGAATATATTTGATCTTTATCAAACTTTTATTATTGACTTTATAACAATTTCATGGTGGACAAACTATGAGTCATCGGACTTTAACTTTCAAGCTTGTATTCAGAGTTAGGACGTTTCTATGCATATTTTTCCATATGTACGCCGTAATAAACAAGTGAAATAAGAATGTTAAAAATTCTGTGTGTACACATGTTTTCAAAAAGATTTATCTTCTTTAGCATTGACAGTTAGATATGTATTGAAAATGAGCTTTTCTTTTGATATTCGTGGTACTGGGCTTATGCGAATCAATAAAATAAAAAAATTTCAAGTAGTTTTATCAATTAAACATAGATATAAATTGCTAAAAAATTGTCTTATCAATATTCTTCCAAGTCATAGCTGTTTTGGGCTTAGATTGTTGTAGTAATAGTTTCAATATTCAAATATTCTGATCTCCCTATTTCTTTCAAAAACAACTGCTATGATGCCACTGAAGAAAAGTTGTTGTGTTGCTTTTGTTGGCAACATAAATCACTGAACATCGAAGTCTACATATTCATTTTTATGTTTTGTAATGAATACGTTATGAATTCACTTATTACATGTCTATGTAAAAAAATATAGTTTGAATAGGATGATACTTCGGAAATACTACATTTAATGACGTTTTCATTGCAATTTTTGCAGGTAGTGCATCTGGCCAACTCTCTTAAATTCAAGTAACAATGGATTCAAGGTCAGNTGATCGAACGTGTCGATGCTACTTTAGACAATGGAACAAAATTAGAATTAACAGCACCATTCGACGATGTAACAAGTCCAACGGCTGATTGGCATTTCGTCATCGAAAATAATCTCATAAAGTCAGCTGGTCCTACACCAGAATTCGGCAAATAGAATAGATACTTTATATTTTCAACATATTTTTTGATAGTTAACTCTAGATATATGATTGCGTAGTAGAAATATTTCTTTTTCTTCTGACGATGAATAAAATTGAATACTATCTTCTTGAGGTATCAATACTCTATTGACTTTTGTGATAAAATCGTATTTGTCTCTAACTAGATATACTCTACTTGAGAGGGGATCAATCATGACATTAGCGAATTACAACATATTCGAGAAGTTCTAAAACGTTTCCTTCCTTGATTCTGTTTAAGTTCGAGTAATACAACAAAATCTGTCAAACTTGAATGGTTATAGTAAATATTGAATATATTAAAACAGCAAAGTTATTACTTAACCTTGAAAATTCTTTTAGAAAAGTTTCGAAATACGTTAGTAGGAATAAAACTTGATTGAAAAAATGACATAGGAAAGTAAAAGTAAAGTTATGAAAAAAATCTCATGTTTCTGTATTCTTAAGAATATTCTCATGTTATTCTATGTACACATATAAAGTAGCTGTATTTTTTCGATAATTTTGCAATGTATGGAATACGATTGGAATTCGACAAATATTAAAAATAAAATTTTAGATGGTTCTACTTGATGAAGAACTATTGGAGAAATTTTCAGTACGTCATATGAATGATACATCATTATATGCATGTGTATCGATTCAAACATATCGACAACATTGAACTAGCCTCTTAAATAATAATGGTTATCAAAAGAAATTTCTTTTGCTATTGCTTTTCTATCCACGTACTGTTGTGTACACAATTTATATACGTAGATAAGAATATTCGTGCCAGAAATGTTATGAACCCTGTGTTATTTTGATTTTTTAAATCAAGTGCTATCAAAACATTGATCAACAGGTTTGAATTCTCAATTCTTGAAGATGCTTCATTTTCTAGTTCTCTGATTTTTATTGAGTATATAAAAATGTCTAATTTAATTACATGAGAAGAAAAATCTACCAATAAGATATTAAGACTATACTATAGCTAATCTAAATAAACAATTATTGCTATTGTGTTTAGAAGATTTCTTGAAAAACCACCGAAGAAATGTTCATGTTCATATCCGAATCAAAGCCACATTTAGGATTCACTTCAATTGTACCTGCCAAAGTTCCAATGCACCATTCTTCTGCTGTGGTCATTGCAGGGTTAACATCCTGCAAAAACACTAAGCCTTCAAATTTATTCTTGTCATACTTGAAAACAGCCACATTACTATTATTTGTTTCACATTGGGGACTGATTATCAATGTCTTGTGCTGCTCATAAATAACTAAAAAAGAAAGAAGACAATCAACATTAACTGTTTCTCAACAACAACAGTGTGGATAGGAAAAAGATCTTCAAAAAGTGCTTTTTATCGCGTTTTATTGACTCGACTAAATCGAATTAAATTTGAATTCGTAACGTTAGAACAAGTTGTCTCCGTTAGCTTCTAAATATAGGCGATCATAAAGCTCCGCTTTCATTATTTTCTCTTTTCTACGTTGATCGTAGTTTTGCAGATATATGTTTCTATTCACAATTCTATGAAAACAATAAAATTCTCGAACTGCACATGTAGAGAAATAATCGCGACTGCAATGATGAAAGAACATAGTAGTCACTAAACGAATACTATTTAAATATGATTCGATTCCTGTAGTTATCGGTTAAAGTCACTCTCAAATATGTTTTTTCATGCACACTATTGTATAAAAATAAAAAAGAACCTGTAAAGTTTCAATTCATTACCTGTGGTGTCTTCACCAGGTGCCGATGCAGAAATATTCATCATTTTTGAGTGTACACATTGGCCAGTTAGAGGATGCCATATCATACCCGGATTGCCGACGAGCACAAAAAGAGAATTATTCCCATGACAAATAACTTGTTGATCTTCTTGTGAGAAGACTGCGTTCAGGAGTATCAAAGCTAAACACGTCAATATGTTTTGAAATAAAATGAAAAAAATAAAAACATGCTAAAATCGGAGACTTACAATCATGAAGTGTACTTGAATCAGGATCAACAAGCAATGTATCGTTTGGAAAATATGCGGTTATGTTTGGAACAGCACAGTTAGTTCCGTTCAAATCAACCTCGATTATCCATCGAAATGTGTGTGTTTCGACTGCTGATAGCGTCGGCAGAGGTAATGAACGTGTATAACATACCACTGCAACCACAATGCACAGCAGGAAAACGTAGGAGGTCATAAAGTTTACTAATGATGCACGAAAAATTCAATGACGAATATATTCTTACGCTAATATGAGGGCAACTATTGAAAGTGTGTTCTTCTGCTGAATCGGTCAATCTACATGAACTTATATAGGCATGCGGTTCTTTTTGTTCATTTTATCGAATGAAATCGTTTTCCTTATCGATGACCCGTCTATATTTTCACTTTAACCGGATGCATACAGTTGAACCCCGATAAAAAGGTTATTGTACGTCAGACTTTTCTTTCATACGATTAGACAATGGATACAAAATACACATTATTGATTGGCGAGATTATTCTCATATCTGACCTTGAATCCATTGTTACTTGAATTTAAGAGAGTTGGCCAGATGCACTACATGCAAAAATCGAATATAGTTTAATTTACTTCAATTGAAAACATTGCATCAGATTCTGTTTCTTAGTTTTGCGCATCCAAAGACTTTCTAAAAAAATATATTGAGTAAGCACATATTTACTTGAACTGCAATGAAAACGTCAACATATTCACAATCAGTCAATAAATATTATATTTTCAATTTATATGTGACCGGCAAAGTTAAATGTAGTATTTCCGAAGTATTGTCCTATTCAAACTATATTTTTCACATAGATATGTAATAAGTGAATTCATAACGTATTCATTACAAAACATAAAAATGAATATGTAGACTTCGATGTTCAGTGATTTATGTTGCCAACAAAAGCAACACAACAACTTTCCTTCAGTGGCATCATAGCAGTTGTTTTTCCAAGAAATAGAGAGATCAAAATATTTGAATATTGAAACTATTACTACAACAATCTAAGCCCAAAACAGCTATGACTTGGAAGAATATTGATAAGACAACTTTTTAGTAATTCATATCTATGATGTTTAATTGATAAAACTACTTTAAATTTTTGTATTTTATTGATTCGTATAAGCCCAGTACCACGAATATCAAAAGAAAAGCTCATTTTCAATACATATCTAACTGTCAATGCTAAGAAGATAAATCTTTTTGAAAACAAGTGTACACCCAGAATTTTCCACATTTTAATTTCTCTTGTTTATTACGGCTTATATATGGAAACATTTTAAAAACAGTCTTGGTGTCAGCCTTTGCATCATCAATAGCCAGAATCGACGCATAAAAAAGAATTGGAGAGTTTTATTTCCAATTTTAGTTGTCAGATTTCGAACAATCGAATATCTATCACGATTTAACAGATTCAACATCATTTTTAAAATATAAAAGCAATTCAATTTAGTTATTCAACAATCGCAAATTTATATCTAACTTCTGTCTGTTCAGAACTTTTACTTTTACCAATATTATCTAATACAGAGCGTGATGAGTGAGTCTTTTTTTGCAGAAGCAACACTCAACGAATCGATGAAATTAAATTGTACATTTTCTATGTCAAATTAATTTAATTTAAGCACATTTATCTCTATTCTAATTAAATTTATCCTTCGACCTTCGATTAATTACTATAAGAGTAAGAAATGAGACCGAGGAATCGATTTGTCTTTTTGTTAAAGGATAGATTGATCTGTTTTAAATTGAATAAATATTGCAAATCATTGTTATTGTTAATGTTCAATATTTATTCGTATTTTCTTGGATTTATAATGTCTCTCATTGAAATTTATTATTGGTGAATCAAAATTATGTTAATGATGTGATGCGTTAAATCGAGATTCTTTTTAAAAAAATCAATTCAGAACGCTTAAGTCATCTGATGATTCCTTTAGCAAGGATGAGATCTATAGATCATGGTAGCTAGTCTCACTACTATGAATTGAAATTATCATCATATATTCAAGTTTTCTAACTTATATATGACAGTTTATGATTGAATCTTTATTTTTATTCAAATCATTTGATTTATTTGCCGTCTGATGATACCTTTAGCAAGGATGAAATCTATAGATCATGGTAGCTAGTTTCACACCCACACCCTAAAAATTTTTTTAAATATATAACAGTATAGTTTAATCTTGTGATTTTTTAAAAATTAAAATTAATTTTATTTTAATCATAGTGATTATTTGCCAACTGAAGAGTCTCTTAAGCAAGGACGAAACTAGTCTTGGCTGATGTTCACACCCCACGCCCACACCCAGACCCTCAGGACGAAACGTCGTATATTGCTTTGAATCTATCGAAATTATTTATCACACCCTATGATTGTTACTACGATACGGAGAGGCTAAGATCGTTTATATTAAACGTACTCCTTTCAAAAATGATATTAATTGTTACTTTCTGGTAGTTTTCGATGTTATTCTTTAAATCGTGAACGCCTTCTATTGTAATGATTGATTATTGTTTCGAATTTTAGCAGTTGTTTAATGATCTTTCTGTTTTTTATATAATTTTACGATTATATAATTATGTAGTAGTAGATTCTAAGGATACCTGATGAGTCCCTTTAGCAACGACGAAACGTCGTGTTATGCTTTGAATCTTTGATTGATTAACACACCCACACCCACACCCTTCAAACATCATATAATATACATTGATTTTATTGATTCTAGATGGAAACCGCCAAAAAAACAGGCATCGTCAACTCAACCCACAAAATCAACCAACAAATAACCAAATATGACACAAACATCATCATCATCTACAACCTTCAGCGAAATCAACTCAACGAACTATTTCTGTCATTATTTCTTCTAACATGATTCCGAATATTCAATAAAATAGAAGTGAAAATTGAAAATATTCTACCGAAAAGTAATTCATAATTTTTCTTTCATACCAAAAAAAACATAAAATTCGACAAACCTTTCATTCATAACATTCAAACTTTCTCCTGAAAAACAGAAACAAAATTCTACACCATAATGAAATTTGACTCTCTCTGAAAGCATGTTTATAAGAATTGAATTAGATTTTTCTATTTAGTTTTGAAATTTTTCTTTGAAATTTTTCGAAACTTGAATAGTGTTAAGCCATCTGATGAGACCCTTAAGCAAGATCGAAACCGGTCATGGCAGCTTCTTTACACCCACGCTCCCACTCTAACCTTCAAGATTTCGAGTTTAATATATTTAGGCGCTTGTATTGGTTGATTATTCATAAACTTCTACGAAAAAGATGAAAACATCATATTCTCAAATATTCTATGGTAAAACTAAGAGTTTTTTTCTCATACAGAAAATTCAAATGAAACCATTCTAAATTCGTTGATTTATCATAATTGTTTACAATATAACTTTTGATTGAGTAAGATTACGGAGACCGCAAAAGGAAAAAGTCTGCCCTAAAGAGCATCATCGGAATAAATTACTTCCGCTGGTTCTGTAAAGAAGAAATAATTGATTTTAATAACAACTATCATTTTGAAATCAATTTGACAAATACCGAGATTAAGGATACGCAGAAAGCGATGTATGTGGATTTTTTAACTTTTCTTAGATAGACTAACCAAAGATAAATCACTGATAAAATTTAAGAAAAAAACGAAGCAAAAGGTTTTTTATTTTTGTTTAGTTAATTCATTTTTGGCCATATTCTAGGACGATGATAATCGTCAAATCAAAATATGATAGTCGAGCGTGCTTTGATTGCATCTATATGCGCGAGTATTTTATAAAAAAAAGAATCCATATGCATTCGTACTATACCACTTATTTTTTTCTACTTTTTTCTGCAATAAGCTATTTAAAAAAACGTTTATAACGTGTATGTACCTGGCGGTTAGCTTACTAATGATGATAAGAAATAGTGTTTTAATTTAGACAAGTTTCTATGAAAAAGTGACTTGCAAAGTAAGCTTGACAATTTTTGAATGATTGAACTAAAACTTTTGATTTTTATATTCCTATCTGATCTTTATTCGTATGTAAGAAGAAAATCAATTTTCTATATTCAAACTTAACCTTCGTCTCTCTCTAAAAAGTCGACTCATAACTTTTAAACCAGAAGTGCTGGAGAAAACTAGTTGGAGTCAATAGTATTTGATTATTCTAGAGTAAGAAAAACATTCCTTCTCGAAAACATTATGAACTTGATCTATCGAAACCATTCTGAAAATCTTTCCTACTGTTAAAATATTTAAGAATTCGTTGTTCTATTACATATAACGAAAACAAAGTAGACTGTCTAACCAAATTCTCTGTCGATGTTTTGTTCATAATATCATTGATTCGATTACGTACTTATGAAATAGTTTGTATAGCTGTGTGTCTCTCCACCTTTTCTGTATCGTTATCTCATATATGCAAAAATAATTATATATATAGATATCGATGTATGTTTGGTTGAAAATTAACAACAACAAAAAAAAGCTATTCTTTTGATTTGCATATTGTATGAACAGAAGGAAGAAAATCTTAAAGAAAGTATTCAGTACTACTTGCTGTTGCTTTCCAATATCAACATCAGCTAGAGCACCAGCCAAATACAAACGCTATGCACATTATAAAAAGAAAACATCTTTTATTATATTTTATCGTAAGTTTAGAATTACCAACTAAAAAATCAAACCATACAAAATAATAATTACAATGATCATGATAATGGCTGCATCCATGAAAGAAAAAAAAGTAGTTATTCAACGACTGTTAAATGCGCGTGCAATTGCTTACTGTTCTCAGTTCTTCTTTTTTGTCCTGTCAAAAATCTGAGAAAATTTTAGTGCATCTTGATAAGCATGGCTAATAATTTTCTTAAAAATGGCGTTTCTCTCTCTTCTTCCATCTATACCTACTGCAGGTAATTCATCTCAACATCGAGTTATTAATGATTCAACGATAAAACCAATATCAAATGATAGTGATTCATCGTCACAAAATTTACCAAGTAATCCATTGAGAATATCTACTATTGGAGAATTAATCGAAACTGAACGATGTTAAGATAATAATTTATTAAACCATTACATAATGCTCGAGTTTTGAATAATTATGAAATCGAGCAAGGGTGTGGGTGTATGGGTGTGAGTCTTGAGCGAGAGAAGACACCCACACCCAGAAATCGTCTATTGATGATAATAGAGATCGGTTGAACGAAAATGATGATATTTCTTTTTATAAGTCATCACGATACTTGAAGATGCCACGAAAATTACTTTTGCGTTCATTACGCCTTCAATTAAGTTGCTCTATAAAAAGAAAAAAGGAACAGCGATTCACTATCACGACTTGAAGTATTTGACAAACAATTTCGTCTTGATCAAATTCATCATTTATATCAAAATTATTTGGATTTCGGTCTACAATATCAGATCTGGCCAGTCAGTTGAATATACTTTCTCTTAGTTCATACAATAATATTACTTTCATTTACAGGATGATATAGTTCAGATAATGCAATCAAATGAAATTGATAATATTCAAAAATGTCTAAAAGAGCACTTGATATTGTTGAAAAACAAAATCAAACAGCATGAAAACGAACTAATGATGCAGTCATCATCTTGTCCGACTACATTACATTCTCTAGAGATGATAGATCAGAGATTGAAAGACACTTTATTGAATAAAAAAACGTTGGATCCTGTGAGGCCCATTCTGACCACTCTCAGCGACGTAAATATTGCCTTGACGATCGAAAGACAAGCCTACGGGCCAATTTATTTGAGTATCTACACCGATGATGGCAGTGCCTTGTGTTGCTCCTTGAGGCCAACGAGTTACTCGATGGTTTCTCGATTCTGCTACATAGAGCGTACTAGATTCATCAACAAAGAGCCCTTCAGGATGCGACAATTGTGTCAGAGCAACACCTTTTCCCTGACCGCCAGCAACGACAATTCCTACTGTAGCATTTTTATTCCATTTCGTTACACGATGATTGAGATGATCTGACACGTAGACAGCATGTTGTTGATCGACAAAGATGAAAAGTGGAGCATTGATTTGATTAAGACCAGAACCTTTTCCATGTCCACCTGCGAGAAGATCTCCACTCTTCGTGTCTCCTTCCATTCGATATCGTCTTACTTCTTGTTTCTCATTATCAGAGACGTATATACATCGTTGATCATCCATAAATAATCCTCTACAACAAACATTATTGATAAGAATCTCACCTTGTATCGTTTCATTACGACGAGACCAACGAATGACTCGTCGATTTTGCCAATCACTAATAATGAGACTATCAGTCTCTTTGTCAATTAATACATCAGTCGGACAACATAATTAATTTAATCCATTTCCTTGGCCTTTTCCTCCAGCTACGACTTGTCCATTTGTATCACCTATCTTTCATTGAACGATACGATGATTCCAGCTATCAGCAATGACGATCGTTTGATCATCATCAGCAACGGAGAGACTATAAGGCCGAAAGAGTTCATTAACGATATTGCCTACTCCATTGTTTCCAGCAACAGTCCTTCCATATGGTGACCATTGTGCGTTGACAGGAATGCTAGGAAGCACTACAATAGACAAACAATGACAAAAACGCTTAAAATAAAAGTTCTAGCAAAATTAATTCTTCCTGTAAATAAAACGGAGAGTGAACTGCAAAATATATATGGGTGGGGATGTGGGTGTGGATCTTGCGTTTCTCCTCATTCACACCCACACCCAGGCCCCACCCTCTAGTTAATTCAGACCAATTTTTGAATAAAGAGTTAAGATGAATTACTAAATTCTAATGAATTCTGTCGATAGGTTTAATTTTAATATACTCACAGTTCTGTGGTTCACAAATATAAATCAATTGACTCCAATTAATTTGATCATTATCAATTATAACGGTTTTATTTTCACATTCTTGAACAAATTGTTCACCCATGTCGTCTCTTTTTTATCAACTGTGCCGCTGTTACGCGCAGAGCCAATTTTGCGTCGCAGTTACGCGTAACTATGGCGCATTGATCGTAGTGGAGATTCTATAAGAAACTACGCGTACTGTGATGAAGATCAACGTAACTGCGTCCTAGTG